TTCCCATGAAGCTTTTAGAATCATTTTGAGTGTCCAGCTTATGACAATGATCATGCCAAAGCATAACTTTTCGAGTTCAGTTCTCATTAAAATTTTGTACAGTCAGTAAAAAACATCTAGCCCTTCGAGATAATCAGCACATAACAAAACTCTTGATTTCCATCATAAATTTATCGCAAATTTCCTCTATGTAAACTTAGGAGAAGATTTCTTGAATGTATGGTAAATATCAGATATATGGGAAGAGCTTCATCCAAAAAATAATACCTCCAACCATCAAAATTGATATAAAGGCCTATGAAAAAATTAGAAAACACAATCCTTTTCAATGATCTTCCTTAATAGCTGGATCTCATGCATTCCCTTTTAGATCCATCTTACGCTTTGCGACTTTAGGGGGACTCATTCCCATTGTTCTGATTGAAGTCATATAGAACAATGGGAGAGACAACTTTCATATTTAAAGGTTCGAGGTCAACTCAAATTGGGGTATTGAACTTAAAGATCGAATGGAACTTTTTCAATTCTTTGCGTAAAAATCTCATAGTATCGAACATGTCTTAACCTACTTGGAAAGGGGTTTCAATTCAGGCCTTCATGATTGGAACTCCTAGGGCATCTTTAATGGGCCTTTCTAGACAATTTGCTCCTATATCAACATCATCCTCAACTCCAAATATTCCTTCAACAATAATCTCCAAATAATAAATCCAATTGATTGATGAAGCAACACATTTGAGGTGGGGCTTAGGGGCTAAATTAACCCCAGCCGGTCCAACCGGGGAAGTTTCGGTCCAGCAAATGGCTGGGCCGGCCCCCTGTCCCTCTTTTCATTGGGTGAGAATTATTTTCCTCATCCTATTTTTGTTTCCCACCTATTCCATATTTGTTTATATGTGTGACTGCTGAATTAGGGTTATGTTTTATGAGTTTGATTTCAGATTTTTGTCAATGCCAGCCATCAGCATCCTCTTTTCCATTTCCAAGGCTGTATCAGAGGATAAGTGATGCTTCGGCTGTATCAGAGGACAAGAGGTGCTCCGGCTGTATCTCACTCCGAGATGGTGATTATCTTCGATGCTCCCATTTTCTCCACACCCTTCCTTCCACAGTTGTTACCGTCGTACTGGTTGCAACCCGCCAAGGACAATAGTTTTGTTGCCTTCTGCAGCCCAACCCACACACCCCCCACCGAAAAAAGCCTTCCTTTGTGTCGCCTACCCCTAAAGCCATCCCGTTAAACCCTCTCAACCCCACAACAAATCTCGTAACCCTTCTCCAGCCATACCATTAATACCCTCTCAACCCTGAAGTCCATCTCGTAACCCTCTCTCCCCTACCCAACCAACCCTGTAACCTGTCTCCATGACACAAAAAATCGCGTAACTCCTCTCCCAGCATCCTCAACTATTGTTTGTGAGCTCCCTACCCCCCACCCCCTCATTTGTTGTCCCTGTTGTCGTTAGCTTTCCCAGCACCTGCAAGTATTGTCGGTGACCCCCTCCTTTGTTGTTCATGTTGTTGTTAGCTTTTCCAACACCTGCATTTATTGTCGGTGACCTTTCCAGCCACCACACCGGCTACCGCAGCACCATCGCTCTAATCTTCGCCCCAGCTTGTGTTTGTTTGTCGTTTCTTTCCGGTAGTGACTAGTCTTTGTTGTAATCATTGAATGTCAGCAATAACATTTCTATGTTCTATTGTAATTTGGGTTAACTCCAGTATTATTTGGTATTAGAGTTGACCAAACTCTAATCCTATCCTAGGGTTTTCTAGCATCCGTCATAACCCAAAAATATTATTTCCTATCGCAAAATATCACTTCCACAAGCACATATCTCTAACATAATTCTCCCTTACTGATTTTCGAAATCAGAAACCTTAAACTAATTATTTTTACCAGCAATCAACTCCCAACCCTCAAATCTACCAATGTCACAAGAACCTAGCAATGCCACTAAAGAGATACATGCTCGAACCTACTCAAGAGGAGATACAACTAGAGATCCACCAACTTCAACAGAGGCTTGCGGACATTGAGAATGAAATCCAATGCAAGGTTACTCTTGATCTTGATCATGAAAGTCAAGGAGAACGAGAGAGTCCAAAGATAAAGCGGGAGAGACAGCGTCAATTCCTACCAGCTTACGACAAACAAAGAGTACAGACTATAGCCTCAAAAGTAGAGAGACCACATCACCGAGTATCCCCCACATCTTACAGGCAAAGTTCAACTTCAGGATCGTACAGTAAGAAAACACCCAAGAGCACAACCGAGACTACCCCGTTAGACGAAGAGCTAATTAAGAGTAGAGAGCAGATAGGAACCAATCTGCATCTCTGAATATGCCACAGCCAGATAGTGTTGCAAGTGCCACGGATTTGGGCATGTTGAATCAGATTACACAACCAGAGAGGTTATTTGTTTCACTGAGTAGTGTGTTGTTGAAAAATTGGGCAATGACACAGTTGATCCGAGAGAAAAAGAAGACTTTAGAGAGGATTCCCAACTTGCGATAAACAAGGAAGATGTGTTATCAATTCCAGTTGACCCAAAAAAAAAAGATTTCAGCTGAGATAACAGTACCTATTCCAGATGTTAATGACTTTGACGTAAGGGGCATCATGTAGAGTATGACATTGTGGTGTCTCAAGATTTTGTTTGGCAGACGTTGAGAGGAACATCAGCAGGACTGGCTTTGGATAATCAAAAGGGCCATGAGCTCGAGGAGTTGATACTAGACACGGGTCAATTTCAGATAAAAGGATTTTAGACATTTCAGATATATAGCCTACCACTTGAGTTGCCCCTACGAAAGAAGGTCCAACTTGTCAGAGATGACAAAATTTTTAATTACTTCTGGAAGACAATCATGAGTCATTTGGGGATTAAAATCGATTTAAAGGTGTACCTCCCAACAAAGGATCACACTGGATGGATGAATCGCAGTGGTTAGAATCACCCCAGGATTTGTGGAAGAAAGAATGTTTTAACGTGGGATCCAGGTCCTTCTCTAGAAGATGAAAATGCCTCTCATGAGTGGTTGCACTTCAAAGTGGTGCAACCTGGTAAGGATGTCGTATCTTTTGCAATCCCCCCTCCCCCTCCCAAAAAAAAAAAAAAAAAAACCTTCGCTTGTTTCCGCCTAGCTACAGTTGCCGCCCTTCCCCTCCTTTTACTGATCGTAATCCTTCTCCACGACACAGCCATCCTGTCAACCCTCTCCACCCTATAGAACATCCCATAACCCTTCTCCACTACACAACCATACTGTTAACAAGCTCTCCACTGTGAATTCCATTTTATAACCCTCTCTGCCCTACACAACCAATCTCGTAGCCCATCTCTACTACATAAAAAATCACGTAACTCCTCTTCCAGCACCGGCAGTTATTGCCAGTGACCCCCGCCCCCTCCTTTGTTGTCCCTACTGTGGTTAGCTTTCCCAGCACCCACAGTTAATGCCAGTGACCCCCTACTTTGTTGTTCTTGCTACCATTAGCTTCCTAACACTTGCATCTATCGTCAGCGACCCTTCCAGCACACCCGCCGCCACAGCACCATCACTTCAATCTTTGCCCTAGTTTGTACTTGTTTGTCCAGTCCTTCCTATTGTGACGAGTCTTTGTTGTATCCTTTGAATGTCAACAACAATATTTTTATGTTCTATTATGGCTTGGGTTAACTCCGGTATCGACATTAGTCAAGATATTTCACCCAACAAACTCGGCATACAGCAAGATAGACTTATCTCTTAAGAGTGATGCCTGAGATATCTAAGTTAGAAACCAAAGAGTATACCACTTGAGCCAAGACACATTGATTCTACTTCAAGTTCAAAAATTAATTTTCATTTTCAAATTCAAGCTTAAAGTTTCAGGAATAGACTCAAAATCTGGAAAAGTACACGGCCTTTTATCTGTGATTCAAGAAATTTAAAACCAAATACAAAGTCAATTAATGTTATCCATACATGAGGAGCCTCAAAATCAAATTATCAAAAGCTCAAGTAACTGAAGCTTCGCCAAGTAATTAGCTGCTTAAACTCCGCTCAAATTCAAACTCATTCAAGTAAATCTGGCAATTAAAGTCCTTATAAGACGGTCACATCGGAAAGTGTTTGATTTTCTATCTACATTTCTACCGGATCAGTTGTTAATTGACTAAGGCGATAAATAAGCTATTGACCTTTAAAACATTCGATGGTCTTTAATGTAAGAATTATGTAGGCATATACATGTATTATTTAAAATATTTAATTTCATGAATAAAATCATTAATCAAGCCCCACAACAGCCCCTCTTGGTCGAGCATAAGGTGTGATAGTCAGGTAAGACATAATTGATTAAATCTATCTCCAACACTCATTTTGGATCTACCCATTATAACAGAGTGAGAGATAAAGTAAATCACCTAAATGTCTCAAACTAATAATGCAAGATAATGTCAATATAGTTTAGAAGGGATTGTATTAAATTTATATGGTAAATAGAGCTTGAACTCACAGAAACAAAGTTGCAGGGAAATAAAGTCAACAACAACCAAAAGCAATTACATGTTTCTGAAATTTACTTTAAAAGAACTCTCACGTAAAATATTAGAATATGACAAACAAATGTTGTTTTACACAGAACATGTAAGATACAAAAAACAAAACAGAGAAACCTGATGGATTTACAAGTTGTCAGAACCAAAGTTAATAAAACTGGGTTCATTCAACCCAAATGCAATTCTCCAGTAAACCAAAAATGCAAACATCGTTAGTGCAAAAATCAAATGTCATTCTAGGAGCAAAGCAAAATATTTTCACCTGCATCATTTCCTAAAAAAATAAGAAGTAGCAAGGGTATGTTGTATATAGTTTCTGGAGCTAGAAAATTATACAAGCAGAACATTTAAATTTTGATATAACAAAAAGTACTGAAAATAATTGTTTAATTGAGACTCTGGGATATCTCAGATAAGATTCTAAGCAAATCACATGTAAGCATGAAGGTACCTTTTGCTACTTTTCCAGGGGAGTCCCCAATTATACCGCCTAAATCAGCAAACCTAGAGAGTGCTGGCTTGTAGATCTGCAATATTAATACTAATCAACCAGCTATGCTGCGTATGTATGCATGTATCACATATCAAATAACCAAGACAATGACAATTCAACAGTTAAATGTTGAGTAGGGGAAAAAAAGAGTTACTAGTGTGCAGTTAAGAGGTCTCCATATTAAGTTTAAAATAATGGTTAATTAAAAGGGTGCTCCGTACAAAATCTGACACTTTTATTCAGGGTAAAATACTAAACAAGTTCAAATTTAGTGGTTTAGTTGCTAATGTGGAGTTGATAGGTTGCCAAATTCAGCTTAAAATCATGTTTTATACAAGCGGTACTTAGATTTCTATCCTCCCTTTGAATTTTAGCTTTTACAGCAAACAATCATTTCCTTAGTAGTTGCACTGTCTATGGAATCGGTAGGGTGGCTATTGGGTGAGTTTGTAAGAATAATGTTATTGTGAGTAGAAGTTCATTTTTTTAAATGGAAAGTGAAAGAATGATAAATAACAAGCTTAATTTCCAAAAGTTGGTATTCGCTACAATCAGCTTTGGTATAACTGTACAACAATGTTGGTTTTTGATAAATATGACATCTATAGTCGTGCAGAATTTGTTTATTGATTGTGGAAAACACTTGAAGCCCATTTTTTGCTCAACTGAGTATCAAGAAAAATACATTTAAATGACTTAAGTTCAAGTATGTCGCAATGAGGCGTCGAAATATTTTGGTTAGAAAGGATGAAATGATTTGAGCATGAAGGAAGGTTTGAAGGATATTTAGATAAAAAGTTCAAAAATTTAGCATATGAGAAAGAATATGATAAATAAGAAATGCAAGAGTTAACATAGCTTCACCTTAGAAATATTACTGAACGCATAAGGCAAGTATGATTGCTCCAGATATTTACATAAAATGATTATTTGTTTTTCGAAAACTCCACTTCAATGTAGAATGCAACAAATGTATCCTGATGGACAATCCATTTTCAGCCTGGGTTACTTGGAAAAGTTGAAACGAACTTGTCAAATGAGACAAGCGTATCAAAAGGGTTCTTAGAACAAAATCTAATACCGTCATTGATTGTAAAATGTTGATCAATATTATATAAAATTGGTTTAGTTATTTTGTTACCGATGTAGAGTTAATAAGTCTCCCTATTCAGTTGAAAATCATGGCTTGGTGCAGGACGAGCTTGGATTTCTTTTTTTCTTTTTTTTTCTTTTTTTTTTCTTTTTTTTTTTTTTGGGAAAGCTCAGGGCAGAAAGCTCCTCAGGGCAACGTACAGCTTTATTAAAGAAAAGAAAGATGCAAACAACACAACCCAAAAAATAAAAATCCAAAAGAAGCAACCACATCCAAACATGGTAAACAAACAACCACCAATCCAAGAAAACTCTTAAAACACCATATTATCAACAGCAACCACAATCAGCAACAGGATAAAAGAGCTCCATAGGTCCAAACTGCTACCACATTGTAACAAGAGAATCTTGAAAAACAACTCCATAGATCCAAAACTAGTAGTAACTTCTCTAATTGGCATTGCAACAAGAGAACCTGTAAAAAAAGAAACCAAACAAACCAACAGAAGAACCCAAAAAGCAACAACCAAAAACAAAACTACAGACAAAGGAGAAATCATAACCAACAAAAAAAGCAAAACAAAACAATGAAAACAAGAGAGAATTAAAAAAACAGAGGCAAAAAATCGAAGTAAAAAGATAAACTAAAAGAAAAACAGCTCAACCAAACCCAAACCCAAACCCCAACTAAGATAATCCATCCAAATTAGGTGAAACAAAAATTCCTGATTCAAGTAAGTAAAACTAGAACTAATAGACAGCAATGCCCAGGGAAACCAAACAACATATCTTACAGTTAATGAAAGATCAGGAGCAAACATAAGGCATCCATAACGAGGTAAAATTAGCCATGAAAAATAACTCAACTACTTCAAGTAAATTAATTCATTTAACGGTTAACCAGCAGTTCCAACCAAGTTTAATGAATCAATCAAAATAGATGAGTAAACCAGAGAAGAATTTCAAAGAATGGTTAAAAATTAAAATAAGGACAGGATACATCATAGCTCAACCAAAAAAAATCACAAAAACAAAAAACAAATAGTATCCAACAAATCAGAATAATATCTGATAAAAAGAATCCACAAAGAAACCACCAACACTAAAAACACGCAAGGAAAACAAGGAAGGTCCGACTCACTTGATCCACCAACAGCAACATCAAACGATCTAACCAAAAAAAACCATCAACAGCAAGATGAGAGTACAAGGAAGCAGCAACATAGCAGAACAATCGTCAAAGATGAGAAAGTTTGCCCAACCAGCCAAAATCAAAAGAAAATCCTTTCCAAAAAGCCGAAGCACACCAAATTCTATAAAAAGACCAGCCAAATCAAAACCATAAAGAAACAACGATAGGAAAGAAATAATAAACATAAACAAAACCACAAAGGAACCAAAAACGAACGACAACAGCACAAGGAATAAAATAAACTAAACAAGTTGTGGCAGCACCAGAAAAAACAACAAAACCAACACAACCAAAAACAACCAAAGGAAGCTCCATACAGAAACATAACCCAAAGAGAGGAAAACAGAAATACATCAGACTAACAAAACTAAAAAGAGATTACAAATTATAAAAATTCCTGATAAAATCAGAAATACAATTTTTAAATTTCTATTTCCTGTTTCTAAAAAAGAACATACAATGAATATAATGGATATTAAAATCAAACGATGTATATTTATTCCTAAAAATCCTAGAATTGATCTCAATACCAAATAACATAGCCAGTAATTTGTAAAGCCAAAAGATAAGAAAAATTACGAATATTGCAAGATAAATTATCAGAATGATAGAGAACCTGAGATATTACTATGAGCAATGACAAAATTTCCATCAGACAAACATCTTTTAAGAAGCAAGTGAGAGAAAGAGTGATGTGTTTCAAAATAATTGAAAATAAAACACATGTAAAATTAATGATTAACCCTCTTAAAGAGAGAATAGCAGACGTTTCAAGTCTCTTAATAATAATTTTCAACATATGAAGAGCATACTTTAAGGAAAAGCATTTAACCCAAACCAGATTAAAGCAGTTAATAAAAAGATAAGAGTTATAAATAAAAGAAATAAATAAATTTATGATAATAAATATAAATGTTATTCCAAAGACAAGAAGGGCCATTAATAATAAAAATTTTACATATAGCTTCAATACAAAAATAAGGAGCATTAAAATTTTGAGAAAAATTCTAATAATCACTTTTAACAGCATTTTTAAGCTTCATATTAAGAAAAAGATTAAACCAAGCAAAATAGAATCATCAAAATGTTCATTAAGAGAAACCCTGTCAAACCAAGGGTCAAAATAAAAAAGCAAATGACAATCATAAGTAACTTTGAAACTGACAGTATTTCTAAACTTATTAGTATTTTTGATAAGATCTTTCTAAAAAGGAGTGCAAGGAATGAATATTATATGAAAACGAACCATAACAATTGAAAATCCAATCTCTCAAATAAGAATAAGAATTATAAAATTTTCAAATAATTTTAATTTTGCACATAATATTAATCGAATCAAGAGAAGGAATTGAATACCAAGACTGCCAGAATGTTTAGGCAAGGCAATATTAGTCCAAGGAATAGTATGAAGCTTCTTATTATTATCAATATTATGAAAAAACTTAGAAATTAAAAAACAAATATTTTTCTTCAATTCTATAAGTAAAAAATTGAAACAAAACCAATAGTATCAGTAGCTCCAAATAGTGAATTTAATTAACCAAAGTCTGCCTACAACAGATAAATTTTTTTTCTTCCAACCAGCAAGCTAAATATGAATTTTGTCAATAAGTTTATGACAATCCGCAATAACCAACTTAGACGATTTAATAGTAACTCCGAGGTAATCTCAAGAAAAGTAAAAACATATAAATTACAAATATGATGTTGAGGATTACTAACAACAGTTTTAGAAAAAGCAAAGACGAACTTTCAAAAATTGTTGTAAAGATTATAAGATATGCTAAAATTATTAAGGATATTAGAATTAAAATTATCTGATGATGATCACTTTTACTAGAGATAAGAATATCATCAGCATAAATCAAATAGATTATAGAATCAACATAATTATCTCTAGCCAATTAATTATCCAGCATAGCAAAAAGAGAATTCATAACTATAGCAAAAATTTAAGCAGAGAGAGGACAACCCAACCAAAACGTTAAAAAAGAAAAATAGTCTTTTAATTCACTATTAATGGTAACATAAAAATTAACATCAAAAGTGCAACCAACAATCAAATTAAAGAAGATACTAGAAATACCAATCATTTGCAATCTTTTATACAAAAATTGCATATTAACCTTATCAAAATTTTTATTGATGTCAATTTAGCGCAAAATTTTTAGCACGAAGAAGCTCATTTGTTAATATAATATTATCAACAATATCACAACCCCTAATAAAAGCAGCTTGAGCAGGATGAATGATCTAGGGAGAATGAACTTAAGTCTATCAATCAGCAAAATAACAATAACATCATAAAAAGTGTTGCATAAAGAAATATTATGATAGTCAGAAAAAAATTTCGCATCATAACTTTTAGAGATAAGCACAATAGCAGAACATTTAACTCTATGATGAAATTTGGCATTGATAAAAAAAATACTTAATGGCAGAAATACAATCAGTGTCAACAATGTCTCAAGTATTTTTAAAAAATTTAAAAGTGACCATCAGAACCATGACCTTTGTTAGAGCCAATAGAAAAGAAAATCATTTTAATATTCTTGTCAAAAAATTTTGGTCACAAAAAAAATATAATCGTCAGAGACATAATGATTAATAGAAAAAATCCCCTAAAAAAGGATCATTATTAACTTGAACACTGAATAGATAAGAATAAAAAGAACTGGATTTATGTTCCTCTTTGATTTTCAACCACCAGATCAAACAATCATTGTTTATGGAATATGAAAGGTGATTAT